TCTGCCTCATGACAAAGCGGTGGGGCTTTAGATGCTACATGGGCATCCATCCGTCTTTATCTCGCCATTCTCCAAACTAAATCGTGACTCTCATCCCTTAGTCAAGCCTGACCATCAGGTCCTTTCTGTGATCTCCTTGGTTCTGTTAACACCACAAAAACCTAAGTAACTAGGTTTTCTCATATTACTCAAGTTTTAAAGACGTGAAATTTATATAGTTACTTATAATCCATTAATATAACATGCAGTATATATGGGATAAAGTGATTGAGCTTTGCTTTTCAATCCATTCTCCAAATTATAAGTGTAAATTACAGGAGAAATACTTTGTTTCTAAAACTTGTAGAGAATCCTTCAAGTCATCATGATGGGACATGTGCTGGTTAGAGCCACCCTGTGCTCCAGAGCAGCTCTCCACGCAGTGTGAGGAGGTAGTTGGAGGCGCTTATATGCATTTCTCTTCATATAAAAATACACAAGCAAAAACCCTTAAAAGAGTATATAATTCAAACTTGTAAACCTCAACTACAAAGATAACTGAATTGTACATAAGTCAAAGTATTCAAAGGTGTCCCCCACCCCAATTAGCCTAATGGTGTACATTTTGAATGCAAACAAACAAAAAAAGAATGAAAAAAATCAAGAGTCAACAAAATTCACAAGCCAGAAGCAGTTTAGTGCTCACAAGTTTATATTTTTAGGTTTGATAAAGATTCTTGTGTATTTTCTAAATACACGGACAAACAGTCTTGGAAGTTTACATACACGTCTTAGGACACTTATACTAGGTAGGTAAATTACATTTAAAAATTGGTCTTCGTAAAAGATCTTACCAAAGAGCTTTTACAAACAGCAGGCAGAGAAAGTGTTCTTTTTATGTTTACAGTGTTAAATGCTGACTCTCCCATTTCATAACGGCCTCAACCACCCTCTCCTCAACCCGGTGTTTCTGGTAGCCAGTGTGCTCCAGAGCTACATCCCCAGCTCCCGGGGCAGGGCTTACCGTGCTCTCCCCACACCTGGCTGCCTAGAGCTGCCCGCCGCCGCCGGGAGCAGGGCCAGGGCAGGAGCAAAGCTTCCCTTCACTCCCGAAAGGGATGCAGAGAAGCCCGTACCATAGTGAAGTTTAAGGATCTGGGTGACTGACGGCACAAAAGCTGGGGTTCATGTTTCTTTCCTCATTTAAAAATGAAATGCCGCACTGAGGCTGGGTGTCTGGTTGGAGGCAGGTGGTGCAGCAGTGGCTGCGAGGAGGAAGGAAGGGAGGACGTGCACCTGGGGACAGTGGGGAGAAAGGCGTAGACGCTCGATTCCTAAGAGCTGTTCTAAGGGAAATGTCTCCTGAGGGGACTCCTTAAGAGTGAACTCCAAAAGCTGTTGCATGAGGCCCACTGGAGCCCCCAGAAGGGCTGGGCTCGGAGGTGGCGGAGGGAGCAGCTGGGCCTGGGCCTGGCCCTGTGGCTGCTACGGCGGGCCAGCGCCGCTGGGAGCCTTTCCTGTCTGTAAAATGGAGACAATAGCACCTACCTTAGAGAGAACAGATCAAATAAAGCGCAACGGCATGTGGAGGCACTAAAAAATGGTAGCTTTTGGAATTATTATTCAGAAAAATAAACTCTTCATTCTATGTTGACAAAGTCCTAAAAATATAAGTAAAGCTTATCAAAGTTTTAAAATTTGTGATTTTAAAAACCCATCTCGTCATCCTTTCCCATGATTATACTGCTCCAGTTCTTCTCAGGCCTTTGACACTATGTTGGAGTGATAGTTTCTAAGCCCTGGTCCTTCCCCGAGATTTTCTCTCTCCCCTTCCTCATTCCTTCTTTCCCTCTTGGTTCCCGTCTATTGCCAGTGTTCTAAGCATCTGACATGAGTCTATGCATCACCTCATTCTTCTCATCAGGATGGCTCTACTCAAACCAGTGAATGTTTCCCCAGAATTTCAAAGCTACTCATGACAGTTCAGTTTCCCTTCCTGTAACATCTCTTCTTTTTCAGCTTTTAGTTTCTGTGGTACTGAAATTTAGCAAAACATCCAGTGACTATGAAAAATGAGGGCCAAACTCTGACCGACAGTGTAGGGACTGTGTGGCGGTGACTGTCAGAAGCCTAAGAAACAGTGCATGACCTTGATTTAGCTGAGAGGGTCTGTACTACAGTGAACAGGAAAGAGGCAGTTCATGCTCTTCCCCTTCATTAAAATTAAAAGCTCTGAAATATTTTTAATTTTAATTAATAAGAAAAAAATTCAGCAAATGTGTAACACACAGTTCTGCCAGGGCCCCACAGACCAAACTATGGGTATTCCGTGTTACCTATGAGACCAACCCTAAGTTCTTAGCATCTCAACTTCCTGAAGTTGTACTGTAAGTCAGAAAAAGAACATACTTAAAAAAATAGAAACATCCAGTAGTATACCTTAGTACTAAAACTAGTTTTTTAAAATGATCTAGAAGGGTAAAGGCAGTCCCTCAAGATTACGGAACAAATAAATTAGGGAGTCAGCAAGTAGAAAAGTTTGTCAGTTCTGTTTCTTGTGAAAAGCTTACTTTAAAGAAGAAATTTTTATATAGGCTGAGGCTAATATATTCAAGAGTATAAACATTTTTCCTTTGGATTGCCTTTCTAAAAACAATATGGTAAAGTAAATATAGTCCGATCTGTCATAACACAACATAAAACGCAATGGACAATCATAGAATATCTTAAATTAACAGTAACAAGCCATCTACATCAAACCTTGCCTCCAACTAAACCAAGCAAAAGCACAACAATCCCGTAGTGTACCACATGTGTATTTCAATTTACTGTATGCAATCTAACAGAAATTTGGTCATAATTTACCAGATATACATAAATGATTTAAGTAGTAAAGAAAATTCAACTTAACGAGAGTAAGTTCATACCTTGGGAAAAGTAAAAAGTACATTAGAGTGTAAAGCCCAGTCCAGTTTCTATGCAATAAATGACCTGCAGTCTAATAAAGCAGATTTAGCAACTTTCAGATATATATCTTTTCTCTTTAATATATATTTATATATAGACAGATCTACCGATTGTAAACTATGGTTTATTTTAAAGGAGGGGGATAAATGGGATGAAAGAAATCTTTATACTATACTTACATATTTCACAATGCAGAACATTTTATGCTTAAAATACTTTTTCATTCATAGTATCTTTACCCAACTAACGTCTACTTTGGACCCCACCAGAACTACATTTTACTTATTTACCTAGAACATTGAGAATAAGTTGTACTCTTCAGTCTTAAAAACCAAACCAAACTATTTGTGTCAATTTTATAGTTATGCAGAAATTATAATAAAGTTTAGATAATGAAAGATGCATCTGACCATGTAACTGTACTTTATATCTTTGATTTATCTGGGCAGAAACATCAATGTCTTACATTTAAGCATCATTTTACTGAAATCAAAGATAACGAGAAAGTATGTCTCTTAGAAAAGTATCAATGTTTCGGCCTTGATCAAATAGAGCACCACACAGCAGGAAAATATGCTAATCTCTATTTAAAAGAAAGCTGAAAGTTTGATATCCCTCACTCGATATAATATACAATATGTTCCTGATAATGTTGTGCATATTAATATTAATTATGTGACATCTTGCTGTCTTACAATTAGCTAATTCATCTATCATCAGGCTAAGTAAACCTGAAAATTTCTACTTTATAATATATCACTCCTTGTCTCCTGAAAAATTCAGTTAATCATAAATTGTAAAGCCTCAATATTTTATTTGTAAGACTTTTGCAGATCACTGAATCAAGGTGACTACTACAAAGACTGCATACCAAGGTATAGTGACTAAGGAATTGAAAAAAATAATTGTCTATCATAATTTTAAAACACTGAATATCCCAGTAAATATGAAACAAAAGAGAATGCAATTTTTGTGTTAATTTTAATGGTAAAAGGGCACAAGAGTAAAAACCTGATAGTTCATTAATATTGCATAACAAGCTAACCAAACTGGACATGGAGGATAAATCATAAAACAAATCATTTTACTTATTTTTCTATGACTCTTTTTTCGATCAGATTTCTGTCTTTTCAAATAGGATTGAGGTATAGAACACTGGCAAAAATAAAAAAAGGCAAACAAGAATAGTGCCAAAGTAACAGATACCCAAAATCGAATACCATGTCAGAAAACGTCATATAGAACCATTTTGTCAGATTAGAGCAGCAAGAGGAAGTGACTTCTAAATCATAATCATTTAGTGGTATTTGTCAACTTCGTCACGGTAACTTTGCAACATCATTCTTCATTTGTGAAGTAGTAAAATTCATGTCAAAAAGGAAGGGGGAATGGAGGAAGTCAATTAGTTCATTCCAATAAATTACCTCTCCAGTTCTTATAAACATGCCCATCAGCACAAAACTGAGAAATAATACCTAAGACTAGAAGAGACTTGGTTTAACTTATGAAGCAAATCAAAACGGAAAATACAGAAAAGTACAACCAATGGGGTTGAAAAGGCCCCTCACTGAAAATCTGTATTAAAAAAAATAAAATTAATAAAAATAAAAATAGAAACAAAACTCTACTAGTACAAACTAGCCTGAGTGGTTTGGTGGACAGAGTAGTTGGGCCAGCTGTCACCGTATTCTCATAACTGGATTTTCTTCATTCCGGTTAACTGGTACGTAAACGTCAGCTCTTTACAGACAGGTAATCCATTTTCATTAGGACCCAAAGAGTTACTGTATATCCTATAAATAAAAAATATTTTTACTTTGATAACTGACTGAAGATGTGGGGACTCCATGTAATCCAACCACAAGGTTGGTTGCTGTCCAGTCCTGTGCAAATATAAAAAAATTTTGCTATAAGGCTTTGACCCTACAGTTTTCACAGCAACTTAACTACCATCCAGCATGTACCATATTTTGCAAGCCTTCAAGTTCAACAATTCAAATTGTCGCTTCATATTACATCCCAATGCAGCATCCTTGAGGAGTAGAGTAGGCCAGTCAATCATCCTGAGACATACAGACGTCTCCCAGCTCGTCCCATTGTGACGGGTGGTTCGGATCTTCTCCATCATCAGCCAGCTCTTCTTCAGCTTCTCCCCCTTCGTTCTCCTCGTACTCTTCATCCCGATGGAAATCTGTATCCTCTCCCTGAACTACAATTTGTTGCCTTCCTGGCCGTGGTTTATCTGCACACTCAACACAAATACCATAGCGTCGAGATCCATGTCTTATTCCAACACTGGCAGCTAATATGAAGATCTTCTTACACACCATACATTTGTATTTTTTATCCTTTTTATGCACCTAATTGAAGGGGGGAAAAATCCAATAAGGATGGTATAAACAATTGAATGCATTTGAACCACTCAAATCACCAGTTGAACCATGAGTGAATATACCATTTTTTGCTGTATGAGGCTCAGTATCAGACTATAAATCATATTTTCTGTTTAAAGCTATTTAATAATCAGCCTTCCTTAAAACTGCAGGTAACAGTGTTAAAATGCCTTAAATTTTACTGACATTAACATAGTGTAGCTCAAAGATCAGTTATATTTAAAGTTACTTACCAGGGAATGTCTTTTTACATGCTCTCTGCGAGTAAACAGTTTTCCACAAATATCACAGCTAAAGGATCGGACTCCCGTATGAATGAGCAAATGCCTTTTTAGTGTTCGTCTATATTTGGCTACATAGGTACAATGAGGGCATTTCAACTTGTTCAAGTTTAGAGATGATTCACCTTTGAGAATAAAAACACACACAGAAAAGCACTTATAATAAACAGAAAACTTGCTCTCAAAAGCTTACCTATCCCTGAGAACAGGGACTGTTGTAGGGCTACTACTGTCCTGATTTAAAAAACAAAACAAAACACACACACAAAAACAAAAAACCACAACTCAGAATGATTCCGTAAAATGTTTAGTTGACTAATACTTGCCATTTTCCCAGGTTTCTTGTTTTGGCCAAGATTCAGGCAGCAATCCATACTTGAAATCGTTTGCAGCACCTGGCAGCAATCCATACTTGAAATCGTTTGAAGTACCTGGTAGCAATCCATATTTGAAATCATTTGATGGGCCAGGCATCAGGCCATACTTGAAATCATGTGAAGTACCTAATACAATTGAAAAATGATTTTGATGTAATAATGGTAATAAAGATCTGTCTTTTGCTGGAATTAAAAAAAAACACACATGATAAATGAGAATTAAGATAGAAGAGCTTAATTTAAAATAGCTAAATAAAAAGACCTCTACATTTTAATCTAAAACTGGCATGTCTTTATACTTTATTACCTAATTATAATATCCTGATTGGCAAACATCTTAAACAGAAAACAAACTAAAGTTTAAAATACAATTCAACCATAGGGGAAAATTCAGTGAAGTAAATCTAAATACTATCTAATGATGTGTGGAGGCCATCATGAAAATACTATCTTTCAAACATATTCAACACAACCGTCTTAAAATAGTTACTCTTCCTAATTATCCTATCATTACCCCCCCCCCCAACCCCCAAGGCATTTGCAGAACCAGACAGTCTCCTCCTGTCCCCTAAGCAATCACACAGTCTTATTTTAGACTAACTGGTTTAGAAAAATGGATGAAGGATGAAAAATATAAACATAGCCGAAACCAATTTGGCTCAGTGGTAGAGCATCGGTCTGCGGACTGAAAGGTCCCAGGTTCGATTCCGGTCAAGGGCATGTACATTGGTTGCGGGCACATCCCCAGTAGGGGGTGTGCAAGAGGCAGCTGGTCGATGTTTCTCTCTCATCGACGTTTCTAGCTCTCTATCTCTCTCCTTTCCTCTCAGTAAGAAAAATCAATAAAATATATTTTTAAAAATACATATATAAACATAGAATAAAACCAAGATAGTGGCATAGGTAAACACCTAAACTACTACCTCGCACAACAATTTCAAAACTACAACTAAAAGACAAAACGGACATCATCCAGAACCACAGGAAGGCTGACTGAGTGGAAATTCTACAACTAGAAGGAAAGAGAAAAGCTCACTGAGACTCAGGGGAGCTGCAGGAGGCAGAGGTACTGAGATGTGTGCGTGTGCACAGAGGACTGACAACTGAGTACACAGCTTGTTTTCCCAAGCAGGAGGAAGACAAAAGCTCCCGACTGCGCTTAACTCCAGTTCTGGGTAAGACTCTGGGGAGTCAGACTCATATGTGGTGCAACTGGACTGTTAGGATAGAGAAAAGCACACTGAGACTCAGAGGAACTTGTGGAAGGCAGAGGTACCGAGGCGTGCTCGCAGTTAATTTGCAAACATACCTGGGTCCTGGGAACCTTCTCGGCACCTGGGTCACTCCCAGCCGGCCAACAGAGAGAGGGTGGGGAGGGATTGGGGGGAGAGAAGGGGCAGAGCCTGGGACCAGAGGGGTGAGGGGTCTCCCTTCCTAAGCCAAAGCTTGGGGTGGAGGCTTTAGGCTTGGGAAGGGGCCGAGCCTGGGATCAGAGGTGCCAGGGATCCCTCTCGCAAGCCTAAACCTTGTGATGGAGGCTATAGGCTTGGACAGGGGCCGAGCCTGGGATAGGAGGGAAGGGGAAAAAATAATGGAAACATATGTTCAGGTGAGGATAAAAAGAAAAACAAAGAAATGTCATATCCTATGAAAGACACATCTTGAAAATGCCTAAAGAAAGTAGTCATTTTTTCATGGTGAAGGGACCGGAGTCCGTGCTGATGAAAATATCTTGGTGGCTGCAGCAGCGGGGTGATGGGGCTGGTGCCTTACTGCAAAGGGAGGCCAGACTGCGGCTTAGGCCTGCTCCCCATTGGGAGCGATCAGGACATCCCCTGAAGGCTCCCAGGATGTGAGAAGGGGAAGGCTGGGCTGAGGGACCCCTCCTCAGTGCACAAATTTTGTGCACCGGGCCCCCTTCTATATTTATGAGCTTGTCATTCTTCTGTAAAGAAAGCTTTCCCTTTCTAATTGACTCACAATGTACTCATGTAACTCTGTGGAATGTTCATGAATTCGTTGTTTCCCAAAGTACAGCTGATATACCAGGTAAATATTACTATTTAGAATTAACATTTTCTGTAGCCAGCAACAACCAATTATTTTATATCAAAGCCAATTCAAATACATTAATCATTTTAATAATCACCATCCTCATGCCATCTATACTTTAACAGAAATCATAATTACTTTTGATACTGAGAGTTTTATTTATTTTTAAAAAATATATATATTTTATTGATTTTTTACAGAGAGGAAGGGAAAGATATAGAGAGCTAGAAACATCGATGCGAGAGAAACATCGACCAGCCGCCTCCTGCACACTCCCTACTGGGGATGTGCCCGCAACTCAGGTACCTGCCCTTGACTGGAATCGAATCTGGGATCTTTCAGTCTGCAGACCAACGCTCTACCGCTGAGCCAAACCGGTTTCGGCTGATACTGAGAGTTTTAAAATGTCCACTCAACAAACGAGAAATACCTATCTATTTTTATTTACCAGGCTTCAAAGTCCATCATAGTCACAGACTCCACAGATGAAAGTACTTACACATAATCCTCTCCTTTAAGAAAAAGAAACTGCAGTAGGTCCTTAGTAAACATGTATACAAACACTTTCCAAGCCTCAAATCCTCTTAAATGTATTCTTTTTAAATTCTTACTGCACAGGGCGGAGGGGGGTTAAAGAGACACTGTAATACTGTCAACAACAAGACCTGCTGTGCCTACCAGCATCGCCTCCATCCTGCCCCAAGCTGGCTTCTGCCAGCACGTTTGCGTTCGCGGTCCTGTCACAGTCTGGCCCGGAGAGCAGAGCACCATCCAGATCTGAAAGACATGGAGAAGAATCTGTTATTACAGCCACACCATAGCGCCACCCACCACCACTCCCTTCGGGAACTTTCTTGGGCACACAGAGCGGCTCTATGCCAGAGCTGAGCACTGCTCAACGCCACAAGGCACCAAGGGCAGGACGTGATTGTCACCCACAGGAGCAGTGCCCGCTCAGCAGCCAGCACGGTGTCCTGGAGAGGCATGAGCGGCAGTGCCAGTGAACTGGTACTCCAGCTCCATTTGCTACTGGCTACATGAGCCATGACAGTTTCCTCACATGCATCTACTTGTATCAGATTTGATGGAGAAATTAGGTTAATGTAAACCAACTGTTATAATTATGATATCTAACACACAACAGATGATGACTATTGCTAAGTACTAGATGTATAAAACATCGTATGGCTCAGAGGTGAGAAGGACCGTTTAAAGCTAAAATAAAAAGGAAGCTATCAAATAGAGGCCATTCCCAAGAGTTCATAATGAACTATGGAAAGAATGTGATAGAAAGCATAAATAAAAAAAGCACACTAACATGTTAATCCCTTTAAATCTGTTCCATCCGTTCCGTTTCTCTACCACTGCCTGCAACTAGCACTAGTCTTTACTCTCCTGATTAGTGAGTAAATGACTCCAACAGTTCCTTCCCAAATACAGTGCTGCCACCACCACTCTCTTCCCACACACTGCAGAAGAGACCTTCCAAAAACATCAATCTTTACGTTGCTCCTTTACTTAAGATCGCCCATGGTTAACCACAGCTTTTACGATAATCTTCAAACTCCTTAGTTTAGAGTCCGAGGTAATGTTTCAGGTGCCTGCTTAGGAATCCAGACTCACCCACTGGCACAACCTACTCCCTCAAATGAAGCGCGTTTCTGAAGACAGTGTTAAAATGCTTACTATGGACTGTCTCTCCTCTGTCTTCTATTCAAGACCAATCCTTGGTATCACCATTCTGTACTGCTCCGATTCCCAATAGTAAAGGTTAAAAAGTTTATGGTGGGAAAATATAATCATACAATGATTATAGTGGTGCTAGTGCAGCTATAAAGCCAAACCACGCACCAGATTGGTACCATCATACTAAGAGGCCAGTAGGATAACATACTTCCATAATGACTGAGAGAAGAATAGTTTAATTGATGCCAAGTAGACACAAATAGTCATGTAGACTCCTGCAGGATTCAGTAAAGAATTTGACTTTTTTTTTTTTTTTTTTTTTTTTTTTTTTTTTTTTTTGCTAAGAGCAATAAAATGTTTTAAACAGGCTGTTAATAGAGCATTGGTCTGCAGACTGAAGGGTTCCAGGTTCGATTCTGGTCAAGGGCATGTACATTGGTTGCAGATACATCCCCGGTGGGGGGTGTGCAGGAGACAACTGGTTGAAGTTTCTCTCTCATCGATGTTTCTAGCTCTCTATCTCTTTCCCTTCCTCTCTGTGAAAAATCAATAAAATATATTTTTTAAAATATTGTAATTGATGTTCACCTAATATTGATGGTAATTTCTGAGTGAGCAATTTGGCTTTTTTTCTTTCATTTTTGTATTTTGTATTTATTCATTTTGTATTTATTGTCTGGATTGTTTATAGTCAATATGTATCCTTTTAAAAAAAATAAAAGTGATTAAGTTGGAAAAACAAAACACCTGATATTAAAATATAAAGGGAAACCCATAATGAAATATTCTTGTTTATTAAAATAAAACTATGTCACATGTGTATGTGTATAAAAAATGCATAACAAATAAAACGCTTTTTAAGAAATGTTAAAATGCTATTAAATAATATGCCCTTTGCAACATTATTAGTTTAGTTGTAATTAATAGTGTTTGAAGAATAATTTCTCAGTTTTCAGGTGGATGGCACTAAAACACATCCATACACTGAAAAATAAGTGAAACTCAGTAACTTTGTTTTCCTATGAAAAGTTAAATGTATTTTGAAATTCAAAAATAAAATTCAAATCATTATCCAAACAATGTTATTAAGTTTCTCACCATCTTTTAAAAACAGTGATTCTGAAGCATAGTCTGCTTAGAGGGCGCTTTGTAAATATGGGGTATTTCCATTTATGTAACGTTCTACAGTGATTTGTTGAAGGCTTTCCTCTGCTGTTTCTTAAAATGGATATCTCCGGTCTTCTATCTCATCTCGAAAGTATTAGAACTTAACTTGTAATCTTTAATCCTAATGGACACTAAGTACAAAACAGCAACAATAGATGGCTAGTGTAGTCTTCGTGTATGCCTATTTCCTCTCCACACAGAACCACACCCGTGCTAGACAGTAAATCTCTCTGGAGTGGTCCCAGCTACTTGGTTCTTGGTATTAAAAACAAACCTCAACACAGGTGAGCTCTGCCAGGCTGACAACAGCTTTCCTAAAGTAGCATGCGTACGTAAAGCATGAGCAATACATCACATCACTTCTGGACCTTAAGTGGCACCAGCCAAACTGCCTAGCAACTCATTTCTCATTAGTTTTGTTGATGTGAGTGGGAGAAAAGCCAGGCAACCAACTGTTCACATGATCTAGGGACGAATTTGCTTCGCTGGGAAGCAAAGGCAGTAAGTCTTCCTCACCAGCTTTTTCTCTAAAACTAAGATTAAAAAGTAAACTCTTTAACATATTTGCTTTTCTAACATTCATGACTTTGCTATGGAAATCTTTCACTTCACTTAAACTTAGCAAAAAGGGCTAAGATCTCTCTACAATTGTCAGACCTTTTAAAGAATTATTAAAAGGTTAGTTTCACAAGATAACAGGTCTTTCTGAACGGTAGCAGGTATTATGTGTGCTGTGTAATGATTCAAATAATCAGAGTTAAATGATAAGCCATGTATAATTTCTTCTATTTTTACAAATGTCTTTCTCCCATGAACAGATACTAGCAGACTCCTCCCCCAAAGAAGACAAAGAACAGTTTATGCATCAAGTAGTAAGTCCTTTTGTATATGCTTTCTCTAACTCAAACTTCCCATGTGTTCGTCACAATAGTAAGAATGTTCTTATCCTTATTGTATGCGGGAGCAAAGGTTAAGCTAGAGGCAGAGAGTTACGTTGCTCTGCTCCTTGACTGAACTGGTATTGTGTGGCCTGGTACACAGCAAGCAACCAAAAGGGCTCAATTTGCAATGCTGTCTAACATCTTAAACTCACTTTCTAGTAATACTTGATATACTGTTCTGCTAAATGAGCAAAGATAAACCTCACCTACACTGAGCTAAACCAGCATTCAACTTCGTTTCAAAATCTTAAGTGGACCTTAGATGTCAGCTATCACTGTTCTTACAGTTAAACATTGTCATCTTTAAAGCATCCTCCAGCCCAGCCTGTGTTGTTCAGTGGTTGAGCCTCAATCTATGAACCATAAGGACACATGCCTGGATTGTGCGTTGGATCCCCATAAGGGCCTGTGGGAAGCAGCTGATCAATGATTCTCTCATTATTGATGTTTCTATCTCTCCCTCTCCCTTCCTCCCTGAAATCAATAATATAAAAAATAAATAAATAAAGCAATATCCTCCTCAGAATTCATTTTTAGAATAATTCTGATTAACATGTATTGCATTTTTAAAACATGACCTCTTGTTGGTCATGGGCTTTTTAAAAACCTGGTTCACAAGCAATGGAAAGAGCATGTTTTTCAGTTCCCCTCCACGCGGAACTGTGACTCCCAGCCAGGATCTCCCGTTCCTCGCACCACTCCAAACGCGCCTCACCGGGCTCCTGCTCCAAGAACAACACCCTACAAATGCTTTGTGTTACAGGCAAATATAAACAAACCGAATCCCCATTAAAACCTCTCTTCTCAGAATCTAAAAAAATTTGTAGTTACCGAGAATCATAGTCTGGCCCTAACCTACCCACCAACCTCATATCCCTGCGACAGTCCCTTTCTGTTTTTTACCCACTAACTTGTCAGCCGCAGTGGGTCAGTCGTCCTCCCTCTCCCTCTCCTGGCAAACTCCACGATCTAAGGGCCAGCCCCATGCTGCCTCTTCAGCGAGCTCTCACCCTCTTCTTCCTGATCGCCCAGCACACCGTGTGCTCAGTCTTACATCAGCATCATCTGGCATGTTGCTTAGTTTATCGGGGTTTTAAATAAAACTTCTATCATCACATTTTCTCATGTTATGATATGGAAAACTACTTTGGAGTCCCAGAAATGTAATATTTGGATCTAACAACTTTGCTGGAAAGGAAAGCTTTGAAAATTTAAATCTATCTGGTCACCCAGAATATTCAAGTTGTGTCAGAAATCAAACATTCAGTGTTACTGAAACTCCAATTTGACGTTTTCGGGGTTTAGAAAACGTAATGCCCTTGGCAGGTGGAAACCACAAAGATGGCCTTCTCCCAGGTCCACACAACCCTCCTCAGCCCCCAGCCGGGGCTGGCCACACCGTCTGTGTCCTCAGGGCCCTCACTTAGGTTAGCACAGCCATCTTTTGGGTCAAACAAATATGGCAGACAGGAGAGGAAAGGAATACAGGTGGAGGAAAGATAAAGAAGGGAAAAGAGATGGCAGAACAGGGTTGCCACCACATAGATGCCTACTAGCATTTTTTCAAGATTAAATATTGAAGAGTCTTAGGCATTACTATATTTTATAGCCTATTAACTACTGGTGGACATCTTTTTTTTTTTAAATGAGTGTCAGGGCCCTGGCCAGGTTGGCTCAGTTGGCTGGAGTATAATCCCGTACACCAAAGGGTTGCAGGTTTGATTCCCAGTCAGGGCATATACCTAGGTTTCAGTTTAGATCCTTGGTTGGTGCATATATAGGAGGCAACCGATCAATGTTTCTCTCTCAAATCAGTAAACATATCCTTAAAAAAAGAAAAAAAAAAGAAAAAAAAAAGATTTTTTAATGAGCACCAGACTTTCAAACTACTATTTAAAATTCAATTATAGCAGTTTATAATATTTAAAAAGTAATAACATCATCACTTAAATTATATTCAACCAAAAGGATGCTGGGAAAATG